ATTCTTAACCACTAAACTACAAGTGTAATTACACTAAATTTCAAATTTGTACTCCTTTTGAAGATCAATTATTTCATTATTTTGATCCAATCAAATCATCGAATTTGAGCATGTTTTGTCAATCGTGATTAACTCAAATTAAGAAGTATATGTCGTAATTTCTGGTTCTACAATTCCTTGTCTTTTCTTCTTTCTTTTTCAACATGGTTAAACTAGAGATTGTACCTGTATAAGGTTACCTGAGTAACCCGCATAACACCCATTAACCAGGTCATGATCCTTGCTACCCGGGTGACCCACGATTAACTATTCTTCTATCAGTCCATATCCAGTTACTTGACCAAAGCGAATCACTAAAAGAATTGAATGGTATGTTTATTTCTAAGCCTTGCTCAAAGAATCGAATAGCATAATTATTCCAGGCCTATCTAAAAAATCAAATAGCATGATTATTTTCAAGCTTACCTAAAGAATCTAATGCCATGATTATTTCTAAACCTTGCTTAAATATATTAATCATGCAACCAGTTCGCATAATTATGCAGGATCGAATAGCATAATAATTAAATTACCATATTGTCGCAAAACAACACACTTCTGTGTGTTAATCTGAGTATATGCATGTTATTTCGAGAACGCCCATGTCTGTTATTTTGCAACAATACAGTAATCATCCCATGAACTAAATAGTGAAGAAATAACGATATAATTAGCATTACATAACTTTTTCTATTTTTATAAACTTATTTTGATATAAGTCCTTTTATTTGTATTTCGTATAACTACAATAAAAATTTTTTTATAACTTACAAAAATTGCTATTATGAATTATAAAGAACCGCATTTAAGATCGTAACGTTTCACTAAAAAAAAAGTACTTATTAATTATTAAAAAGTTTGAAAATAGCATAAAAACATTAAGCTTCACAACGTAAAAGATTTTTAAAAGCAAATACAAATATTCCATTATTCTTGTAGATTTTAAATGCTTAAATCAAATGATCAAGAAATTCAAAGATCCAAAAAAACTTGAGATCTTGTTTAGCACGTCTTAAAATCATGATCTTTAATACTTATAAACTAAAAGTAAACTCTTTGGGTAAATGGGTGTAACAAAAATAATCTAAAGGCTGTAATAAGCAAAAAAAATGATACGTATATACATACATATAACGTACGCTCGATTTATATTCAGCTCACCCGGGTTACCCAGTTTACCCGGGTGACCCAGTTTGTAACCCAGTAATGATTTTTTGTACAGGTGGGTAATCTGGAGTTAAAATTTTTGACAGGTACAATCTCTAGGTTAAACACTATACTATATCCCATGCTAAACATAGTCTAATTCGCAGTGCTAATAGAAACAACAACGATAACAATAATAATAATAATAATAATAATAATGACAATACTAATAATAATAACAATAACGAAATTATCGTTATTTCTGATAACGAAGAGGAAGAAGAAGAAGGGTTCCATATATGATTGCAGTGGTATACCCATATACTTTTGAAGCTGTGGGTTTTACCGAGAAACAAAAGTAACTAAATAATAATACTAAAATAATAAATAATAAAATAAAATAAGATAATAATAATAATATTTTGTAGATGTCGTGCAGAGTATCAAACTTTGATGGCGCGATTAGGTGTCCTTAACCGAGATATTTTGAGATTTCAATATCTTGTTCAGTGGGAGCGAGCTCATGACTTGATGAGTCAGAGGGTAGCATTAAACCGTAGAATAGAATGTTTAAAGGCATTTTGTCGGTTTAAAGGATATAGCCTTGAGTAATACTTTGTAATTCTGTATCTACTTTTCTTTTTAATAAAGTTAAATATTCTATATGTTCAA